CAACAACAACAACAACAACATCAACATCAACATCAACATCAACATCAACATCAACATCAACATCAACATCAACATCAACATCAACATCAACAACATCAACAACAACAACAACAACAACAACAACAACAACAACAACAACAACAACAACAACAACAACAACAACAACAAAACTTCACCAAGAAGGACAATGTCGTACACACGTCAGATATATCAATCACACGTGGGAAAACACACACAATTGAGAAAGCGAGTTCATCTCGCTCCTCGACCACAATTCAAAGGCAATCAAAGGAGAACGCCGCCGAGGTAGATGCGACAATCATGTCTCGTGGCTCCAACGCTATCGAACGATGGTCCATATCTGCTCAAGCGAAGCTCTCCAACCCAAATGCTAGAAGTTTTACACTGGCAGTTACGCCTCTGAACATCAATAAAGGCCCATGCCTTGGATGTCGAACTACACATATACAAATGTTCCATCCTATACACACTGACAACGACATCGAAACGGATATGTGATCCTACTACACCATCGTCCACACTAAATACAGTACGGTGTACTAGTACCTCTTACTCCATGTTGCATGTGTCTCGGAACACTGAATGCCATGTTGAGGAAGGGGAGAACAACTAGCATTCTAGCTAGACATTTACGACTGTCGCACACCCACAACATGGGAAACCACAACATGACACTTCACAACATGATGAAAACAATAACGATACACCACAAAGAGTTGGCAGAATAATAACCAACAAAGTGGTCAATTGGGTCAATGGTGACATGGCGCTCCGACGGCAGCTCAATGCCAAACAGGCCACATGATGGTCTCCGCGACATGCGTCCCAATACGAACCGATGCACAAATGTGTCGCTACACGCATATGATCGCTGACACCAGCGGATACACAGCCATGTTCAAGGACATCCAAGTGATCTTGGCCAAATGGCAATGATTTGCCAATCGCAGCGACTTTCGCACCGACCGCCAAGCACACCACGCTGTTGCCCAGCCACATGCAGCCGACAACACACCAATATCGCATTCGAAGCACACGCAAGATCAACTCGTGCACCACAACGCGAGCCCCAACTGGACTCGTCCTCTCCAACAGCCTCTCGTCACGTCGTCACCTCTCGTGCATCAACATGTGGGTTTTTGTACGCTTCGCCATGAGAACTCGTGTCTCGGGCGATGACGTTTTTCCCCACGCACATGCACTTCGGCCCGACTCGACTGACGGCAACTTGCCCCGCAACTCAGCAAGACCACGCCACGGAACCAAGGGGAGTAACAGCGGAAACGCGCCCAGCAGGATTCCGGATATCGGTTCCTATATCGAAGTCTACAAGAGTCGCCATACACTCTATAAGACGCCGTCTAGCCTCCACCAATGTACATCATAACACTCCATAATTCAGCCTCCGCTTGCCAAGTTCCTCCTTCGTCTGTAAGGCGGCAGCCAAGCTCGACTCGTACGAAGGTGCACTAATTCGGCTTTGCCGGTCGCGGGGCTACAGCAAGTGGCCGTACCGGCAGCTGGCCGCGATCGCAAAGAAGATCAAGCGCCTCGAGGCGATTCTCGCCGAGAAACCGAGCATCTCGATGCCCCTCGTCCAGGCGCTGCTCGAGCAGCACCGAGCCGAGTACCAAGCCGTCAAGTACTGCAAACCGGTCGTCAATAACCCCAAGCAGACCGCCCAGCAAGACACATCACGCAAAATGTCGCTAGATTTCATTATGGGCTGTGACGAGTAACATGTACAACTTGACAATTACTATATATTTCACTCAGAGAAATGGAGATAATTTTGCTAGGCGCTGCTTAGCGGTGGCTGCTTTCTTTACAATATGGGTGTTTTGCGACGCAAGGAGCCGAAACGAACTTTTCAAGAGCGGAGTTGCGAAACCACTCTCATTTTAGAACTCGACTCCCGTTAAGCAACCCGCCACTCCTCCCCCGAGGCTGGGGCGGTAATTCAGGCAATACGTCCTTTTCGCCCCCTGAGCCATCCCGCGTATCGAAAACCATGCAACAATACGCCATGGAGCTTACTGGCGCACACAAGATCAATTCACGGGTATACCTTCGTTCGCTCTGTGCCCTGTTGCATTGAGCTATCCTTGCTATATCCGTAAGTCGATCTCGTGTAAAGCGCAGGGTGCTGAGGTAGTGAGCGCGTTTCAAAGTAGGTCAATACAATGATGATGGCAACGATACCGGCACCGGATTTTACTGCAAACTGGCGAAGCTGTGGTGCACAGTGGGATGGGAGGAAGCGGGCGATGGGCTAAAAGCTGGTACACTTGCAACTTGGTCCGAGCTGCCCGAGTCGACTGATATGGGGCCAGTCCGTTCATCTCGCGGTTTGTATGCATTTGTGCTTTTCATGTCGTCAATCTGCCTCATCAAACAAACGACATTGATAGAAAATATATTACAATGCCCCCTCGCTACGAGTTGCGAGGCGGGGTTTCATTCCCCATGTACTGTGTACTCGCTTCGCTTTCTTTCGCATTTTTACTCGACAAAAGCCATCGAAAAATTATATTTTCCAACGATGCAGCACGCTGCCTCTCCTCTTCAAGTATGGCCACTATAGCCTGGTCGACACCTCTGATCGGCGACTCTTTAGATTTGTATGGCGGCAAGACTCATGCCTGCTTCGCGAGCTTGTTCCGCACGCCGCTGTCGACCGAAGCGGTTGACAAATATTCACATGCACCCATGCACCAGGAGTTCAATCTCTTTGCGGGGCCAATGAAACGCAGTGAATTCGAGTGGGCTCTTAATGGACGCACATGTCAGCTTGCAGAATGACGGCGCAGTGACACGTGCGTGGCATCGCGCTACTTGAGCATAAGCTCCAGCAAAACTACAAAGCCGCGGCGAAATCGTCGGGGTGACTAGCGAGAGGCTAATCTGGGCCATACCAAATTTTGCTGACACCCAAGCTATAGGTGAAATATGTCTCCCCACCTCAGTCGCGTACTATAATTAGTGCTTTTTAACGGTTGCTCGGCTGTTCGTTATCACTGAATCATATCCGTGCAGCGGCGGAGAAACATATGTCTGAACATGTGCTAACAGTGAGGACCATACGTTGAATAACTCCTTCTGGTTTCAAAAAGAGGCCATTGGCTCTTCGCCTCAGTTTGGATACAGGTTGTATTCTTGCTGCAAGACCCACGCAACCCAACATTGTCCCAGAATACGTGTGTGTTACGTCTTGTTTTTCGAGTGATCATTATTTGGCTTTTCTTCACGACATTCGCGGCACTAGAAATGTGAACGGGACACAATCGCCCTAACAGCCACCGCTTTCCAAAAATTACTACATTAAATAAATGTGCAGCATTTATCTGTCAGCCTCTTTGTCACATACATGTCACCAGTGTGGCTGTACGAGTGCACGGCGGCAGGCATCGTCTTGCCAAGGTCAAGCTGTGGTTTTGACGTATGGGGACGCAAACCCAATGCGATCGTATTGCATAGACAACGGCCTCGTAACTGACAGATAAAATGTTGCACAATTATTCAATTTTTTCGCTAAATGCGGCGTTTGCGCAGCGGGGCGGCTTCTGCATCGCTACGATGCACTCTGTGGGGCCGGCACTATGATCTACACCATCGCTCGCGATCTGTAGCCTTCTCCAACACTGTGCCTGCCGCCGTCGAAGTC